GGCTGTAGAGGGAAACACTTCCACTTCATTTTCAGATTCTGACTGCAATTGCTCCCACACATTAGTGGAAAGGAGAACTTTATTAGAGAAAATTACAAGGAACTTAACTGCACACTTAGAAGTTTTAAAAGAGTTCCTGAATGTGATAAACAGCATACTGGCCAAAGAAAAAATACCCTTATATTTTTCCTTTGTTTTTTAAAAAAAGGTTACATGAATTCTCAGGCTGAAAAATAGACTGCATAAACCCTTACACAAGAAAATAATTAAAAAATTCTAGGTATGGTTTTTTGTGTACACATTCATGGGTTGACAGTGAGCACATAATCTCTGTCATACAACCTGAAATACTGTGCACATTGGATGCAGCTGTTCTGGTTGTACTGCTAGAAGCTTTGTCCAAGTACTGTCTGAAGCTATGCCAAAACCTGCAAAATTGTTTTGACCAGAGATGGTGCAGAAAACACACACTTATGACAATGATGGCTCTGTAACACTGCCTCTAGGCCTTTTTAAAGTCTGTACAAAGCCTGAGACCCAAGTTTCATGAGCCTTTATGAAGAAATATTGATGATATACTAAACTGTGACCAGCCATGAGTCAACCAATAAAAACCCATTCAGCAATCTATCATCAATCCAAAAGGGTGCATGTGTGACTTTTTTTTTACCTTAAGGACTGGACTTGAGCCTCCAGGACATCTGTTTTTTCTTGATAGAGACATTTAAGTTTTTCCTTAAAAAATAAAAGCAATAAATATGGCTGTTTCAACTAAAAATAAGAGGTGGTCATCATCAGCATTTTAGCACCGTTGGCTGGAATAGGAAATAAACTTAAAGCACATTAACAAGAATGCAAAGATGTAAAGAGCTATCTAAAGCAATCTAATGGTTTGTCTAGACCAGCACAGCTTATACTGGTGGCCAGTGTGGCATAGGGGTTTGAGTGGCAGATTAGAACCTGGGAGAGCCCGACTCAGTTATGAAGCTCATAAGGTGATCTTGGGACAGTCACATTGCCTCAGCCTACTTCACACGGTTGTTGTAAAGATAAAGAAAGAACCTCATATGCTGTCCTGAGCCCCATGGAGGAAGGATGTGATGGGACACACAGAGTGCTGGCAAGCTGTGCTTCTCCAGATATCCCAATATCTAAAATCTTAAGTGGAGGTGCCAGAAATTGATCCAGGGCTGTTTTACACACCAGGGTTATTTTCTGTGGTAGTCTGGTTGCTGATGTGATTCAGTGTGAAATTCCCCCTGCAAAGGAGATTCTCGACAACCCAGAGTAATGTTTTCTCTTCATTTTTAGTGGTGGCTTCGGTATTCTTGTGTGACCCTCAAGATTCTCTATCCATTCAGGATGTGAGGGCGATCTGGCTGTGACATCTGTCACCCCATTGATCACCAGGGTTCATTCGGCTGATCTGGCTGGCTAGGCGGGTTTCCCGTACCTCCCTTATCACTCCATGTGCGTCCCTCCCGAAGCTGCACGCTCGGTCAAAGAGGACGACCATCTCAGATAGAAGGAGTGTACCATTCTTCAGTCAAGGGTATACGATAGCTGCGCTCCCCTGCTAGAATCTCCAAACAAGCTCAAAGATTCTCCATCCATTCTATTTTAATTTGTTTTTATTTTGTGGAGCATGGGTAATGTAGCACTGCAGAAATAACACAATACCTTAAAAAAACTTTTTAAAAAAGCTCCACATATTTACAGACACCTCCAAAAATTCCCTCCACACTTTCTAAGAGGCAGGTTGAGCTGCAGGTGATTCTCTTCTGTTTTTTAAAGAAGAGCATAACTAATGCTAGATAGGAATAACACAATACCTTTAACAGCCTTTAAAAAAACACTTTGCATTTGTGGACCCTCCCCTCTGTCTAAAAGGCAGGCGATTCTCTTCTGTTATACTGTTGCCGGGAACTGGCCTGTTATAATCATCACAACTGAAAACAGTAGCTGACTAGCACTATATCTAAGTCCTACAATTGTGCTGTTTCGATAGTTTCCTGCTCAGGAAAAATGGGGGGTTGTTGTTTGTTTGGGGTTTTGTTTGTTTTTGTTTTTACAGGATTAAAATTGTATCTTATGTTCTTATGTTCTTAAAATAAAGCAGATATTTTGGTGGAAAGAATGGGCTGTCCAAATTGGCCAGGCCCAAATTGGAAAAGTTTAAGGAATACCAAATCAAACGAACGCATACCCCATTTGGTGATTTTGCAATAAAGCCCTCCTTTTCCCATTTATAATTATTGTTTTATGTTTGCGGCCCCAGTGGTGAATGAAGTCTGGACCAAAGAAAGGAGACACACCTTTTTGTGGAGTATAACAGGGAACCCATGGTTCTGTCAGATTACATAGCATCTACTAATTCAGCCAAATGGACTCTCTTTCTTTATCTCATACTGCTTCTTAATTCATTAGTTTTAAGCAGATTACCAAAATATAAAAACTAGACCACATTTGGACAGCTGCAAAAATCAATCACAAGCACATAAAATTTCACAATTGAAAGGGTAATAGGTCTACTGTTATATTCTAATAAAAGAGGTCATATCTCCATATAGTCAATATTTTGGAGTAAAGGAAGAAGTAAAAGATTCCTAGCCTCAGGAAAACTGTTTCATTCAAAAGTCGGATGATACAGAGTGTCTAGACTACCTACACCACAGTCACATATTCTATCAGAGTATGGTATCTTAAGATACCTCCCTTTGCAGAACTCTACATGGTAATGCATTTAGGCGTGCCAACATAAAGGCACACCTGTACTGAGGAACAATCAAATGTTAACAGTAATTGGGAAGCTGGCTAGATGGAAGAATACAGAGTACAACAAGCACATAGTGCTCTACAGATTGTACAGCTGTAATCATACCTAAATAGACTTTTCTTAATCATTCTCATAGCTTCCTGTGTGGTGACTGAATGAAGGTAGTTCAAAGAAAGAATGAGAAGCCAGAGTTGTTACTCTACAAGTTTATCCCAACCGGAAACATAAGAATCCTCACGATCAAGCCAAAGTAGTCCTCTTTGGGTGTCAGAGTGTATAATTTTGACTTTAAGGGAAAAAAAGCCTTCATTTAAGCCCGAGCTTCAAGAGAAGATTGTCCCAATTTGGCTTGGAGGGCCACCCCCACTACACAGTTTGGAATTCCGGAGATGGAATGTAGAAATTTACAAAGAACTGAATCAAAAGACACCCCTGTTTTGTCAGTCCAAACACCAGCCCCATATAAACTTTGTGCAGCCATCTTAGTGCTGAACAGTTTAATGGCAGCTGAGATACACTGAGCCCCAGATGAATAGAAGAAATGACAAATAATATTTGTTGCTGCCGCAGACAATCTTTTAACAAGAGCAACTTGCACTGACACAAACTAATTTATGCAGTAGCCAAATCACTCACTCACAGCTTTAATGCCAGTAGCTCACAAAGTAGACTTTTCGCCCACAAGACTCAACAGCTTAGAGGGAGCATTGGTCAGGAGATCCTAAGATTGTCTGGCTGCCAGAAGTTTTCACTCTTTTAGCATTATACACCACTAGTTGGCGAGCTAGACTTGTTTTTAAGGCAAGAGACCTTTCAGAGGTGGCTTGCCATTGCCTGGCTTTGGATCATGCCCCTGGTATTCCTTGGAGGGTGCCCATCCAAATACTAGCCAGGGCTGACCCTGCTTAGCTTCTGAAATCTGATAGGATCAGGCTAGCCTGGGCAATCCAGGTCAGAGCAGTCCACCCACTAAGAAGTGCTGGCTTTAAAGAGTTCTGGGGGAATCAAATCTATACCAGGGGCCTTCCCATTCTTCATTTGAGAAATCAAAAAACTAATTTTGGATGGTCGAACGGTGGGGGATGACTCCGGTAATTCAGCTGGATTCCAATCACTCTGATAATCATAATCACTAAGACATAATCTAGCAAAAAGATTAACAAAATGTTACTCCCAGGTATGCGATGAAATATGAATATGTCCTGTTTATGAAATTCTTAGAAAAGCTTGCTACTGCTATAGGGGGAAAAAGTTGTTCATTGTAGATCTTGGTCAGACCCAGAAAGCCAACTCTTATGTTCTCACAACTAAAAAGGTTTATACTATATAAATGTACTGGCTAAATTTTATACAATAATATTATTAAATTTATTTCTCTGTCATTCTATAGGACAACATAAAAATTAATGCTAGATTAATAATTTAGGTGATGTGTAAATAAACTAACCATCTCTAGGTGCCATTTATCCATTTCTGCTGCAGCTGCTGCACCCCGCTCATTGGTGCCAGAAAATACTCTGGTGGCTTCACCATCACCATGTAATGCGTAGGAATTTTGAGGAGCTGCCTGAGAGAAAGATAGTATTTTTAGTCTCTCTTTTATATATGTATATAAACATTCGCAACATGACAAACATAAATGAGCATGGGATCCAAGTAATCCAACTCTAAGAAGCTTTGCAGTCAACCAACTATATGAATCTGAATTCCCTCAGAGAGACCAGCTTGCAAACCCATCACATAAGGTATAATGCAAGATGAAGGCAAACAGCCTGGTAAAATCTTTTAAGTGCTGGTAACATTTTTATAAGAACTTAAGAAGAACCCTGATGAATAAGATCAGTGGTATATCTAGCACAGCATCCTGTTTCATGCAGTGAATGACTGACAAGACCTTGCATTTAGCCATTCACTCATAGCAAGTAGACATTCTTTCTCCTTTTGGCATCTTAATCTCTAGAAAGATGAGGAACACTTAGGACTATTTCATGCAAAACCATTCATATGTTAATAGTAATTCGATATAGGAAGACCCTGCATGTACACCATGGCATGTGAAAAATGTCATGTATAGACATAGTAAAACAGACATGTGAACACACCATACATTATCAAGTGTAAAACAGACATGTGAACACACCATACATCAAGAGAAGTATTTTCAAGCTTTCTTTTAGATTAGTTGATTGTTGTAGTATAGTTTTAGTAGTTTTAAGTAAGAGCATTAACATGAGCTGGCAAATTCCAGTAGGACTTACTGAGGCATCCAACACAGTTTGTTCTCTAAGAGAGTTCTCTACTGATACCATTTTCAGTTCACGATGGAGCTTCTCATTTTCAAGCACAACCACATGTATACGATCTTTCAGTCCTGACATTTCCTCCTAAAAATGTCAATGTGTATATTGTGAACAAAGATGATCATAAAATAGTTTGAAACGTGGCAGTGCAATTCTCACTTCAGCAACTGAGTCCCTGACAGTAACACGTTGCATTCACTTCAGAACTAAACCTCATGGATAAGATGTAAAAATATTAAAACATTTATTTCAAGTAATCAGTGGCCTCTCTTTCTCACACTGTTCTATGTTAAAGTGAGACTGAGTCCCCTAATGTTTGTATTGTCACTAAATACAAAGAAAGGTTGGATGAACTGGGTGCTTTCATTGTTTTCATGCCACTATTAGCAGCCTGTTAGCCAAACTGGACCCAGAGAAGGGGAAATTAGCTTTAAAAGGGTTCTAGAAAGGAATAATGTGAGACCTTTGTCGCTTCTGTATCCCAGGGTGGATCTTGGCAGTGGTACCCCAGAAAAAAATTACCGATAAAGTGTGAGAGGGTGATTGCAAACACAAACAAATAGCTTTATTGTATACAAAATAAACAAAAAGAATAAAAATGTAAAGAACCTACACTAGGCACCTGAGAACTAATTCCCTAAGTAATCTGTGCCCCTCCTGGCTCATTAAGGCGGGTCATGAGGAGTTTCGAGGTGCTCTGCGGGAGATTGTCAACAAGTCCCTTATTGAGGGACAATTCCCTGGAGCACTCAAGGAGGTGATGGTCCGTCCTCTCCTAAAAAAGCCATCTCTGGACCCGGCCAAATTGGCCAACTATCGGCCAGTGTCCAACTTGCCCTATTTGGGCAAATTGATAGAGAGGGTGGTGGTGACATAGTTACAGGGCTTTCTGGATGAAACTTCAGTCCTGAATCCTTTCCAGTCCGGCTTTCGCCCGGGCCACGGGACGGAGACTATTCTGGCTGCCTTGACAGACAATCTCCGAAGGCGTTTGGATCAAGGTGGTGTGGTGGCATTGCTGTTGCTAGATCTGTCGGCTGCATTTGATACGGTCGACCATTAGCTGCTGACCCACCGCCTTGCCAACGTGGGGATTCAGGGGCTTGTCCTTCAATGGTTTGCCTCTTTTCTCCAAGGTCGGGGACAGAGGGTGGCGATTGGGGATCAGCGCTCCCGGAGGCATTCTCTTGAGTGCGGGGTGAGAGTAAACCCGTCACGGACTTCAGTTCTCGAACCATTTTGCTTCGTGGTTCAGTTCATTACCATCCCTACTTTGGACTGAGTGCCATATATATCAAATATAGATTAGGTGCCATGATCCATTTTGAGGTATAGCACTGTGGCACAACGGCGGCAGCAGAGGCCAGAGGAGGCTTCTTTTATGCAGCAAAAGGCAACAGATGTTCCAGGATAGAGTGGGCCACCTCATGAGAAGACAGTAGCAGCCCTATGCAAAACCAACTATAGTAGGGCAAGGCAAGGAAGAAGTTAAGAGAAGAACAAGGCTCTGAGAAGAGAGGGATGGAGCTGGGCTTGACCAGTATGGGCAGAGCCCCAGGAATAAAAAGAGCAATGTCAGAAGTAACAAGAGAGGTCAAGAATACAAGCAGGCTGAGCAAAGCTGAGGAGCTGCAAAGAAGGAAGATAGAGAAATCTAAAGGAGAACCTGGAGCCTGGGGGCAAGATAAGGCTACCAAACTGGGACAGGGCTGGTGGAACTGCACCAAGGCAGAGGCACAGCTGAGCCCCTTGAGGGTTAAAAAGGCAGAACCAGGCAGGTGAAGGGAAGTGTGAACTTTGCTGCATCCAACGAAGAAGCAATTAAGCAACAACATTGCATCTGGTGAGTCTCTACTGACTATAGGAGTCAATTATGTTCCGCTGCCAAATTGGGGGGGGGGGGAGACGTATTAGTTTGCTTTTGTTTCTGTTCTGACTAGGAAAAAGGCCCGTTGTGGAAATAAATACAACAGCCTCTAGAAAGAGGCTCTGGGCGGGTGCCCCGACCTTGAACACTCAGTGTCAATTTGCTGTGGTGACCTCAGCAGGCTATAATGATACTGAGTCCACCATTTTCTCCAGAGAAACTGATCTCTGCTACCTAAAGAACAGTTGTAATTTTGAGTGATCTCCAGCCCTCACCTGGAGATTGGCAACAATGGTTCCCCAGAAGGGAATGGTTGGTTTGGAGGGTGGAGTCTATGGCTTTGTACCTGTCCGAGGTCCCATGCCTCCTGAAACCTCACCTTCTCCAGGCTCCATCCCTCACATATCCAGGAATTTCCCACCTGGAGCTGGCAACCCTATCTCCTTCCCAATCATCAACCTACCTTTATTTCCCCCTCACTTTTCAGCTTTCCACCCCCCACACACCTGCAGCCTCTCCCGTGCTCTGAAGCCCTGACTGCTACGTCACATTGGCTGTCATACGGGGGCCACCTCAGCAACATATAAGGATACAGAGCCCACCATTTTCTCCAGGGGAACTGATCTCTGCCATCTGGAAAGTAATTGTAATTCTGAGTGATCTCCAGCCCTCACCTGGAGATTGGACACATTTTACCTCAGAACAGCAAAACTGTTTAGAATGTTAGAGGCAAAAGCCAATCAAGTCGCATATGCAAACGACCTCTGTGTTCCGAGGCAGAGGCAAATGAGGCTGCATATGCAAATAACCTCTGTGTTCTGACTGGCTATGGGGGGGGGGGAGGAACAGCAAAATGTTTAGAATGTTGGAGGCAGGACTCAGGCAAAGCAGCCAGTGGATAGGGAGACCCTCTGAATGACAGATCAGAGAGCGAACTGATTTTGGAGCATGTGGAATGTTCTAGAGAAGTGCCACCACCATTCAGCTTTTATTTATAAGGGAGATTTTCTATAAATAATTCACCTAAATTATTAAAGTGTGATATACAATACCTTGCAAAATTTGACTTCAGCTTCTAGATGGTTAATGTATTGTGATTGATCATTTATGATGGGAACAAGATCACAAACTGTGGGCAAACTCTGATCTGTACCTTTAGAGATCCTCTAGATGAAACAAATGAGATACAATAAACAATTTACAGAAAATATTTTTTACAACAAAGAATTAATTCCATCTTGAATTCCTCATCATGCCCCATTCCCACCCACTGCCAACTAGGGGTGTGCAAAAAAAAAATCAGTATTTTTCAGGTTCAGGTGTATTGAACCCAAAAAATATTGGTATTTCCCGATATTCCCGAATTCCAATATTGGTATGATATTTGGATTCGGAAAATAATCAGGATTGCTGAATTTTAGGCTGGGCATTTGAAGGGACCGTCTCTTTAAATGTATTTTGCAAGCGTCAGCACGAGTGAACCTAGAAGGTTCACCCTTCCGGATTCATTCACCCCACGGCTTGTAAAACACATTTGAAGGGACTGTCCCTCCAAGTTGTGTGCAGATAGGCTTGGGGGGGGGGGAGATCCTAGAGTCAGTTCAATGTGCAAAAGGGAAGGGAGTGTGTTGAACACACACACCCCTGCAAGCTAGAGACATCAAACTGGCAGCAGACCTCCCCATGGTGCCCCTCTACCCACCCTCCAAGTTGTGTGCACATTGGCTTTTGGGGAAGAAGATCCCAAGGGATCCCTGTGTAAAAGGGGAGGGAGTATGTTGACTGGCCTCCTTGCAAGCTAGAGGCATCAAATTGGCAGTGGACCTCCCCAGGGTGCCCCTCCACCTGCTCTCCAAATTCTGTGCAGAGTGGCTTGGGGTGGGGTAGATCCTATGGTCCAATGTTCAAAAGAGGAGGGAGTGTGTCAAATGGTCCCCTTGCAAGCTAGATGCATCAAATTGGCAGCAAACTTCCCTGGGATGCCCCTCTGTCTGCCCTACAAGTTGTGTGCACATTGGCTTAGGGGGAGATCCTAAGGTCCAATGTGCTAAGGGAACAGAGTGTGCTGAATGCCCCCCCTGCAACTTAGAGGCATGAAACTGGCAGCGGACCTCCCTAGGATGCCCCTCTATCTGCCCTCCAAGTTGTGTGCAGATTGGCTTGGGCAGGGAAATCCTATGGTCCAAAGGGGAGGGAGTTTGTTGGCCCCCCTGCAAGCTGGAGGGCTCTGCTGGGCAGTGCAGTTTGAACCAGGCTGCTCAGCAGAGACCCCATCAAGGCTGAGGGCAAGGGAGGATCAGCGGGTGTGGTGCAGAGCTGTCACCCTGGTCGATCCTGGGCTAGCTTCAGCCGAGGCCAGCAGAGAGGAGGGAGGGAAAGGGAAGATCTCAGATCTCCCCCCTTCCTTTCTGCTGGCCTTGGGGAGAGTTCTCCCCACAGGATCAGCTCCTAGGAGGGCTCTGTTGGGCAGTCCGATTTGAACCAGGAAGATCAGTAGAGCCCCCGCCAAGCCTGCAGACAAGGAAGGATCAGCTGGGGCAGCGCGGAGCTGTCAGCTCCTGCTGCCTCAGCCAATCCTGGGCTGGTTCCTCTTGAGGCTTGTTTTAAACCAAGCTACAAGAGAAGCCAGCCAGCCCCAGCTGAGCTCTGCGCCACCCCAACTGATCCTCTCTTGCAGCTCTGTGCCACTTCAGCTGTGGCTGGCTCGCCTGAAAAAAGCAAAAAAAAATTATAAATCAGCTTTTTTCGGGCTGAGCCATATCGGCATTCAACTTAATAAATACCAAAAAAGTACCTTATCAGTATTTTGGGGGTATTTATTCGAATCAATTTATACTGAACGCACACCATACTGCCACCATAAAGCAAAGAGAAGAATGAAAAATCAGCCAGGGGGGGGAAAATGCCCACTAGAAATTTAGAACTCCACTTACACCATCAAGATAAATGAAAAATGATCATAAACTAGTCTGTAATTAGAATAACTCAAATATTTTGCCTTCCACCTCTCTGTCCATGTCTGATACATATGGATAGTTTTGCCATAACAAAGTAAAACTAGCTACCTTAAAACAAATGTAACATTGTATGTCTTAAATAAATGCATTGAACATCCTGCAGTAGCTTATTATTGCCTTGATGAACTTCTAAATGATTCACCAAGTGAGACAGCATAAATGTTCCTTAAATACAGGCTCTGCTAACAGCCATGTAATTATTTGTTCATCTAAAAGAATAACCAGAGAGGATAATGCTTACTGAAGGTGATGTTGTCCTCCTCCTTGAAGGGGATGTTTCATTGTCTTTTTCTTCTTCTTGTCGTAATAAAGCTTTTAGTTGATTAACTATAGGGAAAAGGTAAGATACATCTTAACAAGCATGATTAAACATGACTGAAAGAATGTCAGAAATGGAAACTTTCAAACCTCCATGATTGTGTTGCAGTTCCTGCCAAGCTCTATCCTCATTGTCAGCAGGGTCTATATCGGGAAATAACTGGTCAAATGTAGCTGCACCTTCTCCCATTGCAAGATCTTTTTCACCCAAGGCATACTTCAGTTGATCAATGCTTTTACTGGCATGGTCTGTGGACAACAGCGTTATTTTTTTTTAGTCTCTGTGAACAGAGATGCATTCAAACTTGAACAGGCAAATCTAGATTACAAGATTGACCATCACAACTCACCTGTCTATACAACTGAATATCACAGAACTAGAACACCACAAGTGAACATCTAGGAAAGATGAGAAACAACCCAAGAATGTATTCATTGCACCTGGCTGTGAAGTGTACGAGTAGGAAGAAACCAGGAAGGTGTATTCTAGCTGCTGTTTGATGTGGTGTAGCATCAGGTTGCTCTATCAAAAAAGTTACATCATGAGTGTTTCCCAGTACCAGTATCACTAGCACAGACAAACTGTTCATCAGGAACCAGACAAAAAAACTTTCTTGGCAGGTATCACTTGCCTTGGAAAAATGTGATCTGTCTACCAATGAGATATTTCTAAGGACTGATTGCAAAATCTTGTTGTTTCCAATGGAGTTCCTCAGGGTACATGACAAAGGAAAAAAGGGATTGACAAAGGAAGATGGGGGGATGGCAGAGAAGTTCAATTATTTCATTTTATTTTTGCTTCTGTGTTCACTGTGGGGCATGTACCCATGCCACAGCCACTATTTTCAGGAAGGGCATCTGAAGAACTAAATCAAAGTAAGGTAGCCAGAGATGAAGTTCTAGACCTATAAGAGAAATTAAAAACTGATAAGTCTCAAGGTCTTGATAACATATACCCAAGAATTCTTAGAAAACTCAACTGTGAGATAGTTGATCTACTAACCCATATATGTAACCTATGACTATATTCAGCTGTATCAGAAGACTGGAGAGTAGCAAAAGTTACACCAGTTTTTAAAAAAGGGTTCCAGAGTGGAACCAGGAAATTACAGGCTGGTCAGCCTAATATCTGTCCCATGGCAAATTAGTAAAAACTGTAACCAAAGATAGAATTAATTGGTACACAGAGGAACAAAGCCTACTGAGGAAAATCAGCATGGTTTCTGCAAAGGGAAGTCCTGCTTCATCAACCTTTTGGAGTCTACATAAGCATGTAGACAACAGTGACCAAGTAGACATTATATACTTTTGACAAGGTACCTCATCGAAGACTCCTGAGTAAAGTTAGCATTCATGGGATCAGATGATGGGCTCTCTCATGGATTGAAAATTGCTTAAATGCTCTCGGTCTGGGGCAAGTGATGCTCTGCATTCTTGGTGCTTGGGGAGGCAACAGTGGTTGGGCTTCTAGTGTCTTGGCCCCACTGGTGGACCTCCTGATGGCACCTGGTAATTTTTGCCACTGTATTACAGAATGTTGGACTGGATGGGTCATTGGACTGATCCAACATTTTATGACAGGAAGCAAAGAGTAAGAATAAATGAACAGTTCTCACAATGGAGGAAAGTTAAGGGGATCAATATTGGGGCCAATATTTATTTTGTTCATAAATAATCTGGAGCTAGGGGTATCCAGTGTAGTGGCCAAATATGCAAATATAACACAAAATTATTAAGGATGGGGCAAACCAACAATGACTGTGAAGAACTCCAGGACAATCTCCTAAAACTGAGTGTGGGCAACAATATGGCAAATGAAGTTCAATATTGGTAAGTGTAAGGTGATGCACATTGAAACAAAAAATCCGAACTCCAAGTCTATGCTAATAGGGTCTGAAATAGGGATGGGCATGGACAAGTCTATGCTAATAGGGTCTGAAATAGAGATGGCATGGACCAAACCACAGAGCAAAATTCATCACAAATTCTGCCCTGTTCATGGTTTGGGGAAAAGTTCATGATGGGCCTACTGTCATGAACTTCCACAAACTTTTAGAGCAGTTTGTTGATGGAGCAGAAAACAGGGGTTTAAAGGGACTCCAAGTCCCTTTAAAACCCTGCTGTCTGTTCCCTGTGAAAGCCGCAAAAACAGCTGAGTGGTGGGGAGGTGTTCCCTGCTGCTCAACTGTTTTGGGCTGTCTTGTGCAGTCCCTTGACATCACAGAAACAGCTGTGCAATGAGGAGGCGATCCACACTGTGCAGCTGTTTTGGGCTCGGACTGCAGAAGATAGCTCGAAACAACTCTGCGGCGGGGAGCACCTCTCCCTCCCTTTAAACTTTAAAAGAACTGCAGAAGATATCACAAAAAACAGCTGTGCAATGAGGAGGCGATCCCCACTGTGCAGCTGTTTTGGGCTCAAACTGCAGAAGATAGCTCGAAACAACTGTGCGACGGGGAGCACCTCTCCCTCGTGCAGCTGTTTTTCATGCTGTTTTGCAGCTCAGCTGTTTTGTTTTTTTTGGGCTTCCTGCAAACCCCATTTAAAGTAGTCTTAAAAACTTTAATGTCCACAACAACCAAGCAATGAGAATCATTTACCCAGCCAGGATACTTTACATCAACATCTTCAAAGGATTCAGTACAAGATTTATGGTATATACGTAGGTAACAGCCTGACATTCCAAGACACATCTAAAATATAGGATGGATATTATACAATGGAAAACTGAAAGCTGCACTCATGACTTCTGATATATCTTCACACAGAAAGTGATGGAAATGTGGAATTTGCTGTAAGAGGATGTAGCGATGGTCACAGGAATAAACAGTTTTAAAAAGAGATTAAATAGATTCATGAATGATAGGTTTATCCGTGGCTACTAGCCATAGTGACTGAGGGGAACCTCCATGTTCAGAGGCAGTCAACTTCTGTATCCCAGTGCCAGGAGGCAACATCAAGAAAAGTGACCATAGTTATTAAGTTCAACATTTATGTAAATAGGGAGTTGCCCAAAAAGAACAAAACCACTTGGGGTAACTTCTCTCAAATTAGAGGGTTTGTGAAGAAGAAACTAAAAGGAATGGTAAGGAGGGTCAAATCACCTCAGGAAGGTTGGAGACTGTTTAAAACTGCAATCCAAGAAGCTAAGATAAAATGTATACCGCAGATTAGGAAAGGTACAAATAGGTGAAAAAAAGGCCTGTATGATTAACAAATAAAGTAATGGAAACAGTAAAAGGTAAGGATTCCTTTAAGTGGCAGAAGGCTAGTCAGAGTGAGATGAATATGAGAGAGCACATGCTGTTGCAAATAAAATGCAAGTCAGTGATCAGACAGGCAAAAATGGAATGTGAAGAACACTGCAAAAAACATAAAGTTCAACAATACAAATTTCTTCAAATACAGAAAAGCAGCCAGGGAGACAGTGGGGCCCTTGGATGACCAAGGGATAAAAGGATTACTAAAGGATGATAGGGAAATGGCTGAGAAGCTGAATGCATTTTTTGCCTGTCTTCACTTTTGAAGATGGGGAGGTGCTTGCCCACTCCAGAACCACTGATTTCAGGAGGGGAGTTAAAAAACTTAAATCAGATTGAGGTGACAAGACAGGAGGTCCTATGACTGATGGACAAATTAAAAACTGACAAACCACCAGGTTCAGATGGCATACATCCAAGAGTTCTGAAAGAAATCAAATGTGAACTTGTGGATCTCCTGACAAAAATATGTAATCTTTCATTAAAATCTGCCTCTATTCCTGAGGACTGGAAGGTAGCTAATGTAACTTCCATTTTTAAAAAAGGTTCTGGAGGATATCCAGGAAATTACAGGCTGGTCAGTTTAATATTGATACTGCGTAAATTGGTGGAATCGGTTATTAAAGATAGATTTAGTAGGCACATTGATTAACAAAAGCTATTGAGGGAGAATCTGCATGGATTCTGTAAGGGAAACTCTTGTCTCATTAACCTGTTTGAGTTCTTTGAGGGGCTGAATAAACATGTAGACAAGGGTGACCCAATAGATGTTGTTTACCTAGACTTCCAGAAAGCTTTGATAAAGTTCTTCATCAATGTTTCCTAAGTAAACTCAGTAGTCATGGTATAAGAGGACAAGTCCTCTTGTGGATTAAAACTTGGTGAATTAACAGGAAACAGAGAGTGCGTATAATGGGCAGTTTTCACAGTGGAGGGTGGTGAGCAGCTGGTTACCACAGAGCTCAGTACTAGGTCCAGTGCTTTTTAACTTGTTCATTAATGATTAGGAGTTTGGAGCAAGCAGTGAAGTGGCTAAGTTTGCAGATGACACTTAAATTGGTCAGGGCTGTGAGAACCAGGGAGGACTGTGAGGCACTCCAGTGCGATCTGTCGAGGCTGGGCAAGTGGGCATCAGTGTGGCAAATTAGGTTCAACATGGGTAAGTGCAAAGTAATGCACATTGGAGCCAAAAATTCTGACTATAAATACACATTGATGGGGTCTACACTGGTGTAGACTGACCAGGAGAGAGTTATTGGAGTCATGGTACATAACTCACTGAAAATGTTGACTCACTGTGCGACGGCAATGAAAAAGGCAAATGCTATGCTGGGGATAATTAGGAAGGGAATGGAAAACAAATCAGCCAGTATCATAATGCCCCTGTATATATCCATGGTGCATCCTTATTTGAAATACTGTGTACAGTTCTGATCACCACACCTCAAAAAAGATGTTATAGCATTGGAAAAAGTGCAGAAAAGGGCAACTAAAAATGATTAAGGGGGTAGAACACTTTCCCTATAAAGAAAGGTTAACCCACTGCAAAGATACACACTGGTAGGGAAGGTGGGCGCTGAGCCCTGAGTACTGACAGGAGCAGGGCCGCCACTAAGGGAAGCACTGCTGGAGGCCTATATAGCTCCTGCTTGGGGTTGGGCGATCTGTGGAAGCAATGAGTCGCATCCGTGCTGAGCTCACATCCACCCTTGGTTCCTGTTTCTGGACCTCACTCCTGTTTGGATTCCTGGCTTCCTGACCTCCTGCTTCGGACAACTACTTTCTTGGACTCTTCGACTCGGCTCCTGTTCTGTCTGTTCTAGCTACGACCCCCGGACCATGACAATAGATGAGTTTTAATCAAGTTGGGCACTATGAAGGTTTTTATGTAGAACAACCTATTAGAAAATGTTAGTTTGTATATGTTCTGTAGTCATATCAAACATATTTTCAAATGTATACTTTTAAAAAAATGTGCCACCATTAATA